ATGAATATTTGCTATTCTATATTTAAGGAGCAGTAAATAAAAAGTGCTTATTGACAATTTTTGCGTATTCATTCATGTTGGGGATAATAACATAAAAGTTTTAGTTTACAGAATAAAAAAGAAAACTTGGAAGTATCATGATTTAAACATTTAGATCATGCTTGTCGATACGATAAGGATAGTTAGTGAAATATGCTTAGCATACTAGAAAGAAAGGCTATGGCACCCCACTTAAACAATCTAGTCAATTTGGTCATTGACATTTTGTATATTCTTGGACTAAGTTGAGCAAATGAAGCTGCGCAGATGTGCTATTGCTTAGTAGAATGGTTTCTAATCCAGCTTTTTCTTTTTTTTCTTTTTTTTTTTTTTTTTGGTGGAACCGGGGATTGAACTCTGGCCCTTGTGCTTGCCAGGGAAGCGCTTATTTCACTGAGCCATCTCCCCAGTCCCCTATCCAATCCAGCTTTTTCATCACAAGAAAAGCAGTCACAAGGACAAAGAAAATAAACAACTCTGGACAAGCCATAGATGTGTACTGAGAGACAGGTTTGAATTTTCTAAGATTTTTCCTGGGAACAGAGGAAGAAATGAAATAACTATCTAAAAGGTGAAACGTGGTACCTGTAACAGCTCTTTGACTGAGAGAGAAGCATGACACGTCACAAGTGTCCTTCGTCCCTATGCCAGACCCCAAGGTCATGCATGGAAAGCACTTCTCAGAAACTAACTGATCAGCATCGAGAAAATGGGATGCTATTATTACGATCCTCCCCACTCTGACTTGGGGAGGAAAATGCTACTTAGGTTACATACATAGAATTATGATTCTTCCTAAAAGGTTTTTGTAATTAAAAAAAAAAAAAAAAAAAAAAGCCTGAGCATGGTAGTGCATTCTTGAAGGGTGAGGCAGAAGGACTGAAAGTTGGAGCCCCATTGGGCACGTGGCCAACTCGGCATCTTAGGGAGATCCCAGCTCAACAGCAAAGGGTGGAGGTCCTGTGTTTAACGCGCAGGACCGCAAAAGAAAAAAGGAAAAGTGCCAACATAGGTGAGAAATGAACCCCTGAGGAACTGTGCTCAGTCTCCTCAGCTAGAGCGCCCCACACCCCAACAGCAGCAGGGTGGGCAGTTGTCTACCTGCTCAACAAATCTCACCTGGAAGAAGAGATGTTCTTTAATTTCATCTGCGTCCCGCGGGCCACAACCCAGTCTCTTCTTGGGGTCTTTCATCAGAAGACGCTGAATCAGGTCCTTCGCTAATGCACTCATTTCTTGGGGATATGGAGGCTCACTTTTTAATATTCTCCTGTAGGTGATAAAATTTGCTGTTAAAATAACCAAAGGATGATGTTACAAGTGACAGGCTTTTGGGTTTTTTTTAAGCAAAAACAATTATGATGAGATACATTCTGAAATTAAATTACATATATGAAAGAAAAATACTGCAGATTGCTAATAAAAGAAAAATAAGATGAACAATAAAGTTTAAAAAGTATTTAAAATGTGAGACTATGAAGTCATAATTCTTTTTTTTTTTTTTGTGGCTGTTTCAGCCCACCCTGAGAGAAGAGCTGGTGAGGCATGTGGGGCCAGGGCTTGAACCATGGTCTCGAAGGCCTGCCCAAGCTTGCCTAAGCAGGCGCTTTAGACCGCTGAGCTATCTCACTGGCCCATGAAGTCATATTTCTGAAACTCAAGCGTGCAGAAATAAAACATATTGGATCATTTTTCAGTATAAGTCAATCCTATTGGGAAGCTAAAATCCCAAGTATTGCAGTGGGAAAAGTAACAGAAGGTACAACTTGAGAGTAGAGTGGATATCGCGCATATAAATGAGGCTCTCCAACTCAAAACTTCACAATATAAAGAACTCAGAAAACTCAGGTAAGTGCACTCAGCATTCAGATTCAAAAGCACATAAGAGCGCTTCAAATGTCTCCACTTCACAGGCCAACAGGAATGGTGAGGAAAGTGCCCCAAGGCGGGCAAGTCAGGATCATGTGGACGTGAGCCTCCTGCTCACCTGTACCTGCACACAGGTAGGAGAGCTGTGGCTTTCATGGGTTGAAAGCATCTGCTTCATTATTTGCTGCTTGAAACAGAGCGGCAAGCCACATTAATAATTTAATGAGAGAAATAATGAGTGATTAAAATTAAGAATCTCAATATAGTAAGCAAGAAAATGAGTAGTTACTTCATTATTTAGGTTTACAGATTCCCGCTGTGCCTATTAATAACTGTCATGGCATAAAACCAGACAATAAATGTGCAACAGACAGTATACTGCGATTACGAATGCGGACTCTGAGGCCAAACTAAGTCCAAGGCAGGTTTTCTCCCTTACTGGCCCTGTGATTTTATTAACCTCTCTGTGGCTATTTTTCATCTGCAAAATGGGAATAACAATAGCACCCATAAACTAGGTATTATGCAGTAAGATGTGCGCTGTGCCTAACCGTTACTGGCACAGGCCAAATGCTTAGAAATGGAACTCTTACTCATCATTCTAAGTCAGCCATAAAGAAAACAGACACAGAAGCTACATTAAGTAGCCACTGAAGGCTGTGAGATGATAACGGAGCTACACTTTGACAAAAGTCTTATAGCAATGCTGTCAAGGCCAAATGTTATTATACTTTTGGCAATCCATTCTGGTAACCCAAGAAAATGTGGGAAGAAAAGAAACGAATCCCCTCGCCTGTTGCTTTGTTAGCAGGTTCCCCTGGCCCGAGCCACCAGCAGTGGATGCAGGACTGCCCCACAGCGCCAGCGGCTCAGAGCCCCCAGCACACGAAAGCCCCGTTGCGAATGTGCTAGTGCTTGCACGGCTTGCTGCCTGCACTGCTCCTAGTACCGACAGAGTCAGTCCTCTTCTCAGGTCAGGCACAGATACTGTCTGAGAAAGAAATGGGGAACTCAGACTCAAGGAAAAATAAACACAGACTTTTCTCTGCCTTTACTTTTTTGTGGGAAGAATTCCTGTGTAAAGGATTGAGACACAGATAAATGTGATGCTGGTGACATAGGCTATATGTCACTTTGGGGCAGAGAAATATCCACTGTGGCTGACATCATCTTTGGGTAATAGCACTGTGCCATCTACTGCTTCTTGAGTGTTGGGCAGGACGCAATGTGCGCTGGAAATCTGCTGCGTCCAGGGCTCAGGAAAGCAAGATTAGTCCTGTGAAGACATGAAAAACAGAAACGTCCTCTGTGGTGGGCCCATCCTGAGAAAAAGCATTTGAAAACAATGATGGCTCTGCTGAATTGCTAAGCCTGGAGAAAGGAGCACAAGGAGGCCCTGGCCCAAGTCAGGAGTTCGTCCTGAGTGAAAAACAGTATTGGTATGCACCTGAGTTGGTGACATGGGCTACATGCAAGGAGCTGAAATTTTAGATCGCATGAGGTAAGGAGCAAGCACATCAGAAATGAAATGAATGGAAATCTGACGGAACTTGTGCTACAAGCAGGGCTGGCGAGGGGGCATGAAGATCCACGGGCGACAGCTCCAAAGCATCCCCTTCCCCAAAATCTGTCCCAAACCAACTTGAGTCACCCTAGTAGGTGATGGTGAACAGCCTCCCACCCAGCCTGGAGAGCAAGAGCAGGAGACATGCAATGAGACCCCCTGAAGGACAGCACTTAGACTCTTGTCACCTTGCTAAAAGGGCAACACGGTTTTGTTGGCCACGTGAGAGGTCCTGTAGCATATTCCTACAGTTAAAAACTGCATTCAGGAAGAGGCCCAGGACCTAGGGTGGGGTGGTGAGGAAGAGTTCACCCTCTCCTCTCTGGGAGGATGACCTCGATAGACTGTTTCCTTACACTGTTTCCTTGAGACATACCAGGTGAAGACGAACGCAGCAGCCATGCCAGGTTGTTGGCAGCCGGCCCTGGAAAGCAGCCTCACCTTGGCTAAGACAAGTGAGCAGGCACAGGGGCCCTGAGGCTTTCTCTTCCAAGACTGCATGAAGAGCTTTCAGGAGCACGAGCTCCTGTGCGTTACTTTTCTACCTGGGATCAAGACACGCCTGCAGTACTGATTCCCATGCAGGGGTCACCCCCATCCGCCGCACGGCTTTCTCACCACTGGGTGACTGTGTGCTCTATGGGCTGGGAAGCCCTCCCACAGTGGCCAGACGGCCCCTGGTAAAGCTGTGTTGGATGCTGTCTGCTGACACGCTGCTTCCTGTCCTGTCTCCTCTATGGAGGGCAAGTTACCCCGAGCTCTGTGGAGCTAAGTAACACTGGTTCCAGATTCCAGCTGCTTGTGACTTTGAATGTCCATGCTGGTCTCCATCTGGGGCCTTCTGGCTTTACGGAACAGGCACTGCAGAGGTAGAGGACTCTCATGGCACATCTGTCATAAGGAGTTCTAGAGCACCCTGCTGGCTCATGGACTGGCTTTGTAGATGTACCTGAACACACCTCCATCTCTGAGGTGGGCACTGCTTAGGTGAAGGTGCTCACTGTTGCTTTCACTGGCAAGTCTTATCCCCTGTATACTTTCTGTGGTCCAGCCAAATGATGGAAGCTCTTTCTTCCCTAACTACTCGGTCATCAGTATTAGAGTACCTTGATATCACAGGGCCAGGAGTGGGGACAGAACCCAGAACTTGGAGTACCTTGGGGCAAAGCAGCTGCACTTCCTGATCCAAAAGTGGTAGTGTATAGCATCCATGGCAGAGTGAAATCTAAGAAATTCAGTTTGCTAAATGGACAAGAGCCAGAGAGACTGAGAAAAATTGCTAGAGGAAAGACTCACTCAAAAGGTTGAAGCCTTTCTGAGGGGTCATGAACAACCATAAACACACGAGAAGTGGCAGGTCACTCCACAGACCAGGAGAGTTGTGAATCAGAGAGGCCAACTTCTCTCCATGGCTTTCTCAGAATGCAGGAGGCAGACCTTTTTGACTTCAGGTTGATGGGTGAAGTGAGGCACAGGTTTGTGGCAGGTAGGGGCATAAACTGGTTGTAAAGTGACCACATGGGGCATCATCCTAGAAACAGCAGACAGGCAGGTGGCAGGCAGGAATAGGGAAAGAGAGGCAAAGCAAATGCCAACTAGACTGGTGCTGCTGCTTCTGATGGATGCTGCCAGTTGGCAGGGTTAGCCTGAGGTTTTATGTAGGGCTCCAACCACTGCACACCCCCATGCACCAAGAAGTCTCAGAACAACTAATAATATAGTATGATTCATCCCCAAGCCCACATGTTATGCAGGTGAAATGGGAGTAAAAGGATTAAAAGGGTGATACAAAGAAGAATGATTCTGAGCTGAGGAATACGTGTGCCAAAGCAACAGTGACTTCACCCTCCCCCATCCCTGCACAGTTTGTAGGTTCCTAGGCTCTGGCCTGAAGCTGTTGCAGTTGGAACAAGCAGAAGGAAGGGTACCACAGATGAATAGTGACAGTGATAGACAGTAACAGACCCTGGATAGCAAGTGAAACACCCTTGGAAGCAGAGATGCCAGCAGTAGGTGTAGAAATACCTAAAATAGGAGAAAGAAGAAGAAAGAAGGAAGAGGAAGAAAGAAGAAGAAAAGAAGAAAAGAAGAAAAGAAGGAAGAAGGAAGAAGAAGAAGGAGGAGGAAGAGGAGGAACAGGAGGAGGAGGAGGAGGAGGAGGAGGAGGAGGAGGAGGAGGAGGAGAACAACAACAAATTAAGAAGCAAAGAAGCCTTATAAAATATGCCAGTTAAGAATTTTATCACGTAAGTGTGGAGGTACACGCCTGTCATCTCAGCACTCAGGAGGCTGAGGCAGAAGGATCACTATGCTTTTGCGGCCAGCCTGGGCTATATAGCAAGATCCTGTTCCAAAAAACCAAAACCAAAACATATAAACAAAAACATGGTAACTAAAGCCTACCAACAAAGCAAAGCCCAGGTCCCAAGAAGATCCAACGCTACCACTCCTCAAACGCTTTAATGAAATTGAAAGGGAAGCCATATTCCTACATTCCTAAAAGCAAGCATTACCTGATACCCAAACTGGAAAGGATCCAACCACAAAAGAGAACTGCAGACCAGTCTCCCTATCTCAGGTAGATACTGGCAAAAGGAATGCAGCAGATCATCAAGAAGATCATACACCGTGACCAAGTAGTATACCTTCTATATGTCCTCCAAATCAAGATAGCAACATAAAAAATCAAAAACATTAATAAGTCAATTCCAGGTTATGATTGACCAATCAACATTTTTATATTCCAAAGAATGCAGCAAGTCACATAAAATAAATACATTAATTTTTTTTTTTTTTTTTTTTTGCGGAACAGCGGATTGAACTCAGGCCCTTGTGCT